AATTATTTACTTTTTAAAAATTGAGCAGTTAAATTCTAAACGGAAAAAACAACCTCCCAAGTATTAGAAAATAATGTTCAAAGCCAGCTGATTCATACTCCCCCTCCCTCCCCCTCCCCCACTAGCTGTAGCCCTTTGTTTTGGAACAGTTCAGATCTTTCCCTATCCGCGAGATTGTTCACTAAGTCAATTTCCCTTTTCACAGGGGGGGGGGGGGGGACGACGACGACGACACATCTATCTATATATATAATTCTCTTCTTCGAGCCGTTAGAAAACAAGCTGCAAACGCTCTCCCTACCTCCCCACCCCTACATGGTTTTAGTGAGCTGTGTTCACTCTAAATGTTTACAAGCAGAGCCAACGATTTTAAACGTAGGGGGGGGGGGGGGGAGGAGGGGGGAGGGAAGGAAGGGGGGGGGGGGGTTATGGTCCTTAACGAGCTACTTATAGTGTTTTAAAGAAATGTTTTCAGTGTCAGCGTTGGTACTGTCGAATTCACAAATTATGAATTATTGAAAATTAGAAACAACTAAATAGCGGCGTATGTTATGCCGCGGGCCGGCTCGTCTGAATTATTTAAGGTCGGCTGAGGAGTAAGTTATTAACAGTAAGATATATGCATATATATATATATATATATATATATATATATACATATACATATATATATATATACATATATATATATATATATATATATATATATATATATATATATATATATATATATATATATATATATATATATATATACACATATACATATATATATATATATATATATATATATATATATATATATATATATATATATATATATATATGCCTATTTATCTTGATATAGCCTATGCATTGTATTTTCCGCAAAATAATTATATTAGCAAAGTCCATTTGCTTTCATAGTATATTATAGTGAAAATGATTTTTTTTTTTTTAAAAAGGATTTTTACAAATCGACTCTACTCTAACTGTATTTGACTAAGGAACAAAGACAGCCTGGATCGATATTTTGTGCAGACATCCAGCCCTACAGAGACCTGTTGTTAGCTCATTCAGGAACCAATCGATACGAGGCCTGACAATGGGAGAAGTCTCTCTAGTGATTATTCGAGTTTGGATAATTTAAAACAAGCACCGGCGTTACATTGACGATGTTTCGTTTCGGCACAGCTGCGGCCCATGTTTGTTTACATCTTGCCTGATTCATTGCTTGTTATTTGAAGGAGCGAATCAGATAGTGCCTAGCTTTAGTCAGAAGCCCGTGTTGTCTATTAAACAGTAGTTTATAAATTTTTAGTGTTGTCATTCAGATAGAGTAGACGTGTTTGGACTGTACGTCTAAGTTTAAAAAATTTCCCGCTGGACTTCAAACACACAATGAGCTAATCACGTTTATTTATTTTTTAATCCAGCCCTCTAATTCATAAACCCAAACCTCAAAAAGCTTCAGAACTTTCGAAAAATAGACAGAAGGATGTTTTCCTTGAAACTTGAATATATGTATAAGGATGAAATAGCGTAGAAATGTATATAAACTTTGGGTATAAAGTTTTGGGTTGATGAAACAAAATTAATATCTGTGTTTTACTCGACCGGGTACCCACTCACGTATCACCACATGCAGAAACCTGGGCTGTGTGTGTGTTTGTGTGTGTGTATGTGCGTGAGTTTATCTACTTGAGACGCTTCTTATCTGGAGGATCAATAAGGATCTCTTTGTTAGGATAGTGTCTGAGGGCAACAAAGAATAAATGTATATATATGTATGTATATATATATATATATATATATATATATATATATATATATATATATATATATATATATATATATATATATATATATATATATATATATATATATATATATATATATATATATAAAATGTGTGTGTATGTGTGAGTATGTGTGTGAATGTGTGTGTGTGGGTATGAAGGTGGGTATCTACATTTGTTACCAAGAACTTACTGTTCGTTATTCTGTACTTAATGTTTCACTAATAAATCAGTATTGACTGTTCCGGACCTAGCACAGATTCTGGAAGCCTTTAGCTAGCAGTGATTGTATAAGCCTAGATCAAGCAATGATTGTGTAAACCTTTAGCTAACAATGATTGTGGAAGCCTTGATCTAGCAATGATTGTGGAAACCTTGATCTAGCAATGATTGTGGAAACCTTGATCTAGCAATGATTGTGGAAGCCTTGATCTAGCAATGATTGTGGAAGCCTAGATCTAGCAATGATTGTGGAAGCCTTGATCTAGCAATGATTGTGGAAGCCTAGATCTAGCAATGATTGTGGAAGCCTAGATCTAGCAATGATTGTGGAAGCCTAGATCTAGCAATGATTGCGGAAGCCTTGATCTAGCAATGATTGTGGAAGCTTTGATCTAGCAATGATTGTGGAAGCCTAGATCTAGCAATGATTGTGGAAGCCTAGATCTAGCAATGATTGTGGAAGCCTAGATCTAGCAATGATTGTTAAAGTCTAGATCTAGCGATGTAAACTTTTAGCTAGCAATGATTGTATAAGCCTAGATCTAACAATGATTGTGAAGCCTAGAGAAGGGCCTAAAGACGAGAACATCTATAACAGTAACAGGAGACAGGAAATCAATCGTTTGATTGGCCTGTGTACACACGCGCTAATTAGAGATTAATTACAGCTAGTAAGTTCAGCACGACGCCATTTCTCTTTGTCCACAGGTAGGTATGCATCCCCTCCCCCACCATCCCGTCCCCCACCATCATCGCCCCCGACATCCCCTCCCCCACCATCCACTCCCCCACAATCCCGTCCCCCGCCATCCCCACCCCGTCATCCCCACCCCTGCCACCCCCTCCCTCAGCGGCATCACAAGACAAAGAACATGTGTGATTAAAAAGTGACATTCGGCCTTGTCACAAGACACTACATTGACATCCCAATATATGTAATTTTCTCAACATCCCAACGTATATCATTTTCTCAACATCCCAATGTATGTCATTTTCTCAACTCTGTCTTTAGGACTTTTGTAGTGTAGCCAGTATTTGCAGGACAGATTTTATAGACAGGAAGAGAGTTCTTGAAAAAGTGAAGCGATGCTGGCAGTGATTGGTTGGAGGCTTTGTTTGTGGGATATTGATCAAGTCATTATATATATATATATATATATATATATATATATATATATATATATATATATATATATATATATATATATATATATATATATATGATGTGCGTGTGTGTGAAAACAAACCAAAGATAACTAACACAATACCACAAAATAAATATGAATAGGTCTAATTGCTTAGATCAACATTGACAATTTTCAATTGTAATATACAATAGATATGTAATTTAGGTATATGCCATTAAAGAGATTTTAAAAAGCACAAAATTAAACACTTTATTCAAATAAATTTTATTGTTGTTAGTGTGGAGAGGGGGATTTGAACTTAAATCGTGTGGATATTGTAGCTTTTAGTGGTGACGCCTATGTTTAGGGGGTCACAAAATTCCGTACCTTTATGTTCACACGACCCTTGGTGAAAATGTCCAAAATAAATGTTCTTACTGGTATGTCCATGAGTATTATGGTAAATAATGCGCTGTGTTTAAATCAGCATTTCAAAATGTGTGCATCAGCTGTTAAGGTTAACGTTTAAACGTTAAATAAAAATTGTTCAAAATGTCATCAGAACATACAAAATGTAGGCCAATTTCCAATCAGTACTCAGGTGTAGGATGTGTAAATGTAAGTCAAAAAGTGTATAAATTACTGTTCTAAATACACTCTTCCCATGAACTAGCGGATTATTTATCAGTTACAGGAGAGTGAAAGAGAAAATACGAACCATCAACATTGTATCGCTCGTCGTGGTTCATCAAAGGGCGAAAACTGCTGTTTTCCTATACTTAATTAGCAGAGAAGAGTTGTCGTTCCTAAAAAAACTGATTCCTTTTCGCCTCAAGTTGGGGCCAATCTATTTATGATGTCCACACATCTGAGAAGAGGGGGGGGGGGAAGGTTCAGAAAGATCGACTTTAATGGACGCGTGTTGATTAGGAGAAGGGGGAGTAGGTCCCAGGTGAAAGTCCATATGTTGAATTTAACATTTAAATCGTCACATTTAAAAAAAAACAACTACCCGTATCCTGCATGTAAACTATAAAATAAAGTCAGTTCTCGTTAAAACAAAATCCCAGCTCAATTTGTAAATGATTTTTTACCGTCAATTTTATACGAGAACTGCCTAACATTGGCAACAAACTAGAAATAAAGTCACATTTGACATTTTTACCCCCAGCGGGGATAAGGATCTCCCGTAATGACTTCTACACCCCACAGCTTTAGATTGATGTCAATCTGTACTTAGCTACTGTGGTTAACTAACTTTTAACAAAAGAACTCTTAAAGTGCTCTGTTTTAAGGGAAATAAGTCATGGAAGCTTGAAAGTTGTTAGTACGGGAATTACGTCCCTTGTGATTTCATATTTTTAAAGTTACCCGAACAACGTATGTGTTGTTCAATGTCTCCCAAGGTAAAAGATCAAGTTTTTAAAAAGTGTATCTTTAAAAGGAGTTTTCTTGGTGACTTGATGAAACATTGTTAAAATTAGATTATATTCGCATCGCATAGACTTGAACCCGACACGAAAAAAGACATGCAACATTGTGTTAACAAGACATAAAAATTATTTTAAAAAAACATGTTACATTCTGTAAACAAAACGTATATCATTCAAAATACAAGACATGTAACTTTCTTTAAACAAAACATGCAACATTCAAAATACAAGACATATAACTTTCTGTAAACAAGACATGTAACATTCTGTAAACAAAACATGCAACATTCAAAATACAAGACATGTAACTTTCTGTAAACAAGACATGCAACATTGTGTAAATAAGACATAAAAATTATGTAAACAAGACATGAAATACATTTTGAAAATAATTTTTTATTGATCGAAATTTAGACAGACCTGCGCTTGTTTTTTTTTTTTTTTTTTTTAAATCTTTTAATGGTGATCTTTAGGAGAATATATGCATTGATGTTGAGTTATTTATAGGCTGGTGAATTAGGAAATGGATTCTGATGAGTTGAATTGTGGGTAATGGGAGGCTGTTGAGTTGTGGGTAATGGGAGGCTGTTGAATTGTGGGTAATGGGAGGCTGTTGAATTGTGGGTAATGGGAGGCTGTTGAGTTGTGGGTAATGGGAGGCTGTTGAGTTGTGGGTAATGGGAGGCTGTTGAGTTGTGGGTAATGGGAGGCTGTTGAATTGTGGGTAATGGGAGGCTGTTGAATTGTGGGTAATGGGAGGCTGTTGAGTTGTGGGTAATGGGAGGCTGTTGAGTTGTGGGTAATGGGAGGCTGTTGAGTTGTGGGTAATGGGAGGCTGTTGAATTGTGGGTAATGGGAGGCTGTTCAGTTGTGGGTAATGGGAGTGAGTCAGGAGCTAACAGGCTACCAGACCAGGTATCTGGGAATAAATAAAACCATCGTGTAGACGAGATAGGTAGACAGATGTAGAGTCAAGTAAGTTTGTAGTTTGTACATCAACGTTAAAGCCACACTTTAATTGTTGGAACTAGTTAAAATTTTATCATAATTTTAACCAACGTGTCACTATTAAATGTCTGAAGTTGACTTGAACATAAGCTGAAACAGATGTAGTACAGGCTATAGACGAAAACTTATGTTTCAATGTGTAAGAAACAGAATCAGTTGGCCACAAAAATAATTAAAAACACAGAGCTGGAATGTTTTCTAAACCTAATGGCTTCAATATGAACATTTAGTAGACAAATCGTTTAACTCAGAACATTTTGAGATAAGTTTCAGACAGCTTCCAGACACACAGAGAAGCAGATACTTCAGGTGACGTCATTGGTCTGGCCACAGTAGCCCCGGGGGTGGGGGGCGGCTGTCCCTCATCCTACAGCAGACATGCTTGTCTTTGATGTCCCGGATGTAAAATTTGACACGAGAGACCGGATGTACTGAGACCTCTCGCAGGATTGTCTGCTGAGATGGAACAACATGTCTCATTAGTTCTTGCTTTTACATTGCCAAACACTATTTTACACTTTCATACCTTCATACTTCCACTCTTTCTTTCTGCCTTTAACACTTTCATACTTTTATACTTTTACACTTTCACACTTTCATTCTTCAACTCTTTCTTTCTTTCACCATTTCAATTTTTTTTTCACCCAAATGTTCACAAGTAACGTCACCAAAATGAGACAAGCATTGTATGCGAACAACTTAAACTACGTTCAGGTGTTATTCTGTTTGCATTTTATTTTACATTCGCCTTTAAAAAAAATTACCTATATAAACAAGTTTCGTACAATTTTTGTTTAAATTGTAATGACGTGCGAAACACATTTCATAGCATTCAACCCAAGTATACTTGTCAAAGAGACTAACTAGACCATAGACCAATCTACTTGTCTAAGAAACTAACTAGACCATAGACCAATCTACTTGTCTAAGAAACTAGCGATAGACCAATCTACTTGTCTAAGGAACTGACCATAGACCAATCTACTTGTCTAAGAAACTGACCATAGACCAATCTACTTGTCTAAGGAACTGACCATAGACCAATCTACTTGTCTAAGGAACTGACCATAGACCAATCTACTTGTCTAAGAAACTAGCTAGACCATAAACCAATCTACTTGTCTAAGGAACTAGCGATAGACCAATCTACTTGTCTAAGAAACTAACTAGACCATAGACCAATCTACTTGTCTAAGAAACTAGCGATAGACCAATCTACTTGTCTAAGGAACTGACCATAGACCAATCTACTTGTCTAAGGAACTGACCATAGACCAATCTACTTGTCTAAGAAACTAGCTAGACCATAAACCAATCTACTTGTCTAAGGAACTAGCGATAGACCAATCTACTTGTCTAAGGAACTAACTTGACGATAGACCAATCTACTTGTCTAAGGAACTAGCGATAGACCAATCTACTTGTCTAAGAAACTAACTAGACCATAGACCATTCTACTTGTCTAAGAAACTAACTAGACCATAGACCATTCTACTTGTCTAATGAACTAACGATAGACCAATCTACTTGTCTAAGAAACTAACTAGACCAATCTACTTGTCTAAGAAACTAACTAGACCAATCTACTTGTCTAAGAAACTAACGATAGACCAATCTACTTGTCTAAGAAACTAACTAGACCATAGACCAATCTACTTGTCTAAGAAACTAACTTGACGATAGACTAACTTGAGGACTCAGTTGAAGATCCGGCGGTACCGCACGTAATTCTCGTACGTCATCGTTGTGTTGAGCTTTGGGAACCTATAGGGGCCGGGTTCGTCTGACGGACGGCACAGGTCAAACTCCGCGTACTCAGGGGGGAGGGGCACGAGCCTGGAGCGGAGAAAGGGGTTGTCGTCCTTGACGGAGAACTCCGACTTGTAGGACTTCCTGGGCAGCATGGACTTCCGGCGGGGGGTCATGGGCACGAACCCGTGGACCAGGGTCACCTTCAAGAGAAGAGAAAATCTTTCAAACATTTTTCGTCGCGCTGGCTTCGTGAAGCTCCAGTGACGTCATCTTCCGTTGGACACGTCATCAGTCCAGAGTGGTAAGCTCGGAGTACACAAACGACTAGTAGCACTTTAACTACGCCTACTGAAAGTAGTACCTGAACTAGACCTACCGCCAGTAGCACCTTAAAGCACTTTCTGTAAGTAGCACCTCAACTAGACCTACTACAAGAAGCATCAAAACTACACTAACTACAAACACCAACTAAATAGACCTACTATAGCTCAGAATAAAATTTGAAATACTATAAAAATCAACCAAAGCGAGAACTAAGTTTATTGAACTTAAACCGGCTATTAAAAACAACTTAAATAGACACATTTTTAATTAATAAAAACGACTACCAGAAGGCCAAAATATCTCCAAAAAACATTGCCAATTTTAAAACAGAATAACACCAGAACGTGCTTATATATATATATATATATATATATATATATATATATATATATATATATATATATATATATATATATATATATATATATATAAAACGCCATAATTTAGCAGTCGTCTAGTTGAAAGACAGAACTAGGGTATCTATGACGCCTGCTAACATGCAGCATTTGCTGGACCCTGGTCACGTGATGAGGTAACTTCTCACCTGAACTGTTGCACCCTGGGGGATTTCTTTGGTGTCTGGATTGATGTGTACAGACAGGTGTCCTTCACGGTCAACTTTAGCAGACGTCTCCAGCTGGACAGGAACCCGGGGCACTTTTGGTGGGGACTGGGGACAACAAACGTTGTGGTCAGTGTGGCGAGTGTGACCTACTTAGGTCGAGTCAGGTTCTATTTTTATTTTGACATTGTATAATTCCTTATATGGAGTGATTGTGCAACAACCGGAAAATTTCCACTGACTTATTAAGGAGTCTAAGATATAGAAATTTTCCATTAAGATCTGATTGAATGATTCTGGTCAGATGACTATCCCAACCAATGGCTACATGAGTTGAGGATAATCTCCCCTGTTGCAGAAGTCTTTAATTGCCCCGCACACTCGCAACACGAGGCAGTCTACAGGGCGATTTTACCTTGATCAGACCAGGCCGTCCATATTGTCCGGCTATAGACTCTGACCATTTGAACGTGAGAGAAATTAAGTCCTGTGTGTGCCTTGCTTTCTTAAGTTGATTTAGGCTTCTAGTATAATATTACTCGTCGCTGAGTTATTCCAGAAGCTATAGCAGTGTTGTGTGGCCTGTAGTTATTTAGACAGTGTAGAAATCTGTGATAGTGTTTTTCCTACATTTTGTAAGTTGTGTTTTGATATTTTATACATTAAATATTTTAACTAGTTCAACCTTGTGTTTTGCCACAACTGTGTTCGCTGATTAAAGTTGTATGTAGATTGGATGAGTGTTAATTACAATAGTATCACTAGTTTACCCTAGACATAGAATTCGAGCCCTAGTGTGCCGTTGTGTTAGTGTTCATCCACTTAGGCCGTAAGGCATTTGCATATGATCCCGAAAAAAGAATCCGGGGACGTTCACCGTCTATTTGGCTGATAGATAGGGGACGTTACAAAGTGGGGGCTCGCCGAGATTTAGTCTGTCGTTCCAGTTGTTGGTCATATCAGTTAAATACTAAGGTTAGTTGGATTTAGTTGTTTTTATATCCAGTAGCGCAGAGTTTTGACAACGCGCGCAAGCATAGAGTTATCTAGGTCAACAGCCAGACGTGTCACGATAGGAGGTCAAGTACACGGCTCAACGCACCGTGTTAAGTTAGTGAACCTAGGCTTGTTGTGATTTGAAAGTTAGTGTTATGGAGTCTTTTTTGGCTAATCCTACTTTTGAAGAGGTCGAGAAGTTGAGTAGAAAAGTTTTGGTTAGTGTTGTTAAGGAATTGAAATTGGATTATTCTGTTACGCAGAAGTCAGAGGTGTTGAGAGATAAAATTGTTGTTCATTTCATTAATGAAGGTGTATTTGATGAAAGTTTGTTGGCGGATGTATTACTCCGCGAGGAGAAATCTCTAGAAGAGAGAGAGCTTTTATTAAAAGAAAAGGAGTTAGAGGCTAAAATTGCTTTAGATAAGAGGAGGTTGGAATTAGAGTTTGGTCAAGTTAGTGATGTCACTTCTCCGGTAGATCCAAAAAAGTTGTCGGTAGGGCAAGTGATTGCCAAATTTGGGAAATTAGTTCCTAAATTTGATGAAACAGATTTGGTCGTTTTCTTTAACTCATTTGAGAGTTTAGCGAAGACATGTGAATGGCCCGAAACTTCCATTACTGCTTTATTGAGTTCGGTCCTTACTGGGAAAGCTGCAAAAACATACCAGGCACTCTCTCACGACGTTCAAAATAACTATAGTTTGGTCAAGACTGCCATTTTGAAGGCCTACGCACTGACGCCCGAGGCCTATCGGACTAAATTCCGAACACTCCGCAAGTCACCCACTCAATCATATGTGGAATTTCTCTTTGAAAAGGAGAAAATATTCTCAAGGTGGCTACACTCTGAGGAAGTTTCTGAGTTTGAGAAACTCAGGTCACTTATCCTAAGGGAAGAATTCCTATCGTCCCTGCCTGAAGAGATACGACTACACATACTGGATAACAAGATAACTGACATCCAGAAGGCTGCTGAGTCGGCTGACACATATATGTTGGTGCATAAGAAACCACCAGTGTCAGGAAACCGCCTCAACCCTGTGCTTCCCCTTTTTGGCAGCAATCCTCCTGTTGGCCAACACGTGAAGGCATTACAGTCCAGAGAGAAACCAAGATTAACTCTCAATCGTCGAGCAGTATGCCAGTTCTGCAAAAGGCCTGGTCATCTTGTCAAGGACTGTTACAAACGTCGTCAATATAACAGAGAGGTGGTGCGTACTTCTGCGCACTATGCTCTACCCCCTCAAGCAGCCAGTTCAACTATGAACTCTAGAATTCTAAAGGACTCTAACCCTAAGTGTCCGCAAGAAGGTAGTCAAGTCTCCACACATTATGTGCAGTCACATTTTGACTGTTCTCGCCACCATCCAGTTTCTTTCGAGTCTACCGATCTCGAGAGATCGAGAAAAGTTGACTTTTCATCTTTTATTGCCGAAGCCATCATTAGCAAACCAGGTGATCCGTTGTCTCAGCGGAATATCACCGTCCTAAGAGACACAGGAGCGTCACAATCACTCCTTTTGAAAAGTTCAATGGACATTACACCTGAGACGAACACCGGAAGGATTTCCATTATCCAGGGAGTGGGGACAAAATCTACTGTAGTCCCTCTACACAAGTTTGCCCTGAAACATCATCTCGTCGAAGGTGAGGTCATTTTAGGTGTGATAGATGGTATTCCTGTCCCAGGAGTACACCTACTTCTAGGGAATGACCTTGCGGGAAGCAAAGTATACCCCTGTACGGTTTCAGACCCTTTGTCAACAGTTCCAGATAATGATAATGAACTGTATCCTGCATGCGCGGTGACAAGAAGCCAAACCAAACAATTGGCTGACATAACGTCTGAACCACACCTACCATCATCGTCAAGAAATTCGACTCCCAAATTGGAGTCTATGCTTCCAGAAAACACAAGTCTGGGCTTACCCCTGAGGATATCTCAGGAAGACATCATTAAAGCTCAACAAGTCGACGCAGAACTCAAAGCAACGGTCGAAAAATCTCTATCATCTGACGATGGAGAATATTTCTCCGAGAACGGCCTCTTCTTTCGTCGCGCTATACCAGTGATTGCCTCACCAGCCGAACCATGGTTGGGTAGAAACCAGCTGTGGGTCCCTCCACCTTATCGGCATGAAATACTTAAGCTGGCACATGACCATCCAATGTCAGCGCACCCAGGAGTCACTAAAACGACGGCGAAGATCAAAGAACTGTTCTTTTGGCCCAGAATGAGAAAAGATGTGTCGCGTTACTGCAGAAGTTGCTCGAACTGTCAGTTGGCCGGAAAGCCAAACCAGACAATTCCTAGGGCCCCTTTGAGTCCGATTCCTGTATTAGAAGAACCCTTTTCAAAAATCGTCATGGACTGTGTAGGTCCCTTGCCTAAAACCAAGGCGGGCAACGAGTACCTACTTACCTTTATGTGTTCAAGTACCCGTTTTCCCGAGGCGATTCCCGTACGGAACATTAAGGCAAAGACTGTAGTCAGAGCCATGACCCGGTTCTTCACTACCTTTGGATTACCTAGAATCGTGCAAACAGATCAAGGCAGCAACTTCACCAGTCACCATTTTCAGGAAGCACTAGCCAAGCTAGGCGTTACCCACATCACCAGCTCAGCCTACCACCCTCAGTCTCAAGGCGTACTTGAGAGGTTCCACCACACCCTCAAAACCATGCTAAGAACGTTCGCTAACAGTAACACCCAATGGGATGAGACGGTTCCTTGGATTATTTTCGCTGCGAGGGACTGTGTCCAGGACTCTTTAGGCTACTCGCCTTTTCAACTTGTGTTTGGACATTCTGTCCGTGGCCCCCTGAAGCTGATACACGAACGTTGGACAGGTACCAGTGATCATCCTGTGGAAAACTTTGACGATTTTCACGTTCGACTGAAAGCCGTGTGCGAAATGGCTCACAAGAACTTAAGAAAGGCCCAAGTGAGAATGAAAGGACTGTATGATAAGAGTTCTTGTAAACGAACATTCAATCCAGGCGACAAAGTTCTTGTGCTAGTGCCTAATCTGAACAATGCGTTATCCTTGAGATATTGTGGACCCTTTTCTGTGCATTCAAAATTAAGTGATTTGAACTATGTTGTCAATACGCCCGACAGAAGAAAGAAACAGACAGTGTATCATGTTAACTCACTGAAAAAGTATTATGATAATTGTAACAATTTTCATTCCACAGCTAAAATTACTTTACCTGTATGTTCAAATGTTTCTGATGATGTGATACATGATAAATTGAAACCCCCAAAATTGGTAAATTCTTCCTTTTTAGATAATTTGAATGTCCACCTTATGCATTTGTCCACAGAGGAAAGCCATAGATTGTCTCAGTTATTTGAGACATTTCCCTCTATTTTTGGGGATGTCCCCAAAGAAGCGAAGGTTCCACCTCATGATGTAGACGTAGGTGACGCAAAACCCATTAAACAACACCCCTATAGAGTTAACCCGGAAAAAGCTGCTTTGATAAAGGATGAAATTGACTATATGCTCAAGAATGATATCATTGAGCCCAGTTTCAGCAACTGGAGTTCCCCATGTCTCCTAGTACCGAAAGACGGTGGATCTTTCAGGTTTGTGACCGACTTTAGGAAGGTGAATGCGCTCACCAAAGCTGATTCCTATCCATTACCTCGGATAGAGGACGTTATTGATAAAGTTGGTCAGGCTAAGATAATTTCCAAAATTGATTTACTTTCAGGATACTGGCAAATCCCCTTATCTGACCGTGCAAAAGAAATATCTGCTTTTGTAACCCCTAATGGTTTTTATAGATACAAACGTATGCCTTTTGGTATGCGCAATGCTGGTCAAACTTTCCAGAGGGTCATTAACTCTGTCATTGCTGACATAGACCAATGTGAGGCCTACATAGATGATATAGTTGTATTTTCTAATACTTTTGAAGAACATATTGTTCAGTTGACTAACCTTTTTAGAAAATTGTCTGAAGTGAATTTTACTGTAAACTTACATAAAAGTGATTTCTGTAAAGCTTCAATTACCTATTTGGGTTATCAAGTGGGAACGAACCAAGTTCGGCCCATTGAAGCTAAAGTAGATGCTATTGTAAGGTTACCACCTCCCAAAAATTGTAAAGAGATCAAAAAGTTCCTTGGGATGGCTGGTTACTATAGACGGTTCTGTCAAAACTTTTCAGCTATTGCTGAACCTCTTACTGCATTATTGAAAAAGGGTGTTGAGTTTAAATGGTCAAATAAATGTCAAGAAGCTTTTTTAACCATTAAGTCATTCCTATCTAATGCTCCTGTTATGGCTGCGCCAGATTTCAGCAAGCCCTTTAAACTTGCCATTGATGCTAGCAACTTAGCCATTGGCTCAGTCCTATTTCAAGAAGACAACATGGGAATTGACCATCCCATTGCCTTTTTTTCCAGGAAGTTAAATGAAAACCAAAAGAATTATTCTACTATTGAAAAAGAGGCTTTAGCTTTGGTTTTGTCATTACAACATTTTGAAGTCTATGTCTCTTCTTCAACCAATCCAGTCAGAGTGTTTTCTGACCATGATCCCCTGAAATTTGCCTCTAAGTTAGGACAGACAAATCAAAGAATATTGAGGTGGTGCTTATATTTCCAAAATTTTAATCTGGAAATTTCACACATTAAGGGTAGTGATAATGTTGTGGCTGATTGTTTGTCAAGGATGTAAAATCTTATTGCACACATTAATCATGTGACATGTTTTGTGGTTCATTAAGACCACACACAAGTGTTGTGTTTTAACATGGAAATGAGTGGTATGATTTTTGATTTTTTTACAAAATTCCAATTCTATTGAATATTTTGTTTATTTCCAGGTGAACCTTAATTAAAGGTGGTTTTTGATTCTATGTAATCTTTTATAATAATATGTCTCTTATGACTCAATTGATATTGTAGCTAGTCATTGAAATAAAGGTCTTACCCTGGCGGGTTTACCACTTTTAATATTCTCATGGAAAAATTGTAATACCCTTTTTTGAGGGATTTTGATGTATAATTACTTTTTGAAGGGTTACTTCCCTTTTACCAATTGTAAAAGTTGGAGTTACTTCCCTTTTATGTTCAGGGATATTTTCATCTGGTATTATGATTTTGATTGCCTACATTTGTAAAACATTTTTTTTTATTTCATTGCCAGATTGGTTCCTTATGTATGTTTTTGTGGAACCTATCTGTCACTTCCAAAAAGGGAGGGGATGTGACCTACTTAGGTCGAGTCAGGTTCTATTTTTATTTTGACATTGTATAATTCCTTATATGGAGTGATTGTGCAACAACCGGAAAATTTCCACTGACTTATTAAGGAGTCTAAGATATAGAAATTTTCCATTAAGATCTGATTGAATGATTCTGGTCAGATGACTATCCCAACCAATGGCTACATGAGTTGAGGATAATCTCCCCTGTTGCAGAAGTCTTTAATTGCCCCGCACACTCGCAACACGAGGCAGTCTACAGGGCGATTTTACCTTGATCAGACCAGGCCGTCCATATTGTCCGGCTATAGACTCTGACCATTTGAACGTGAGAGAAATTAAGTCCTGTGTGTGCCTTGCTTTCTTAAGTTGATTTAGGCTTCTAGTATAATATTACTCGTCGCTGAGTTATTCCAGAAGCTATAGCAGTGTTGTGTGGCCTGTAGTTATTTAGACAGTGTAGAAATCTGTGATAGTGTTTTTCCTACATTTTGTAAGTTGTGTTTTGATATTTTATACATTAAATATTTTAACTAGTTCAACCTTGTGTTTTGCCACAACTGTGTTCGCTGATTAAAGTTGTATGTAGATTGGATGAGTGTTAATTACAATAGTATCACTAGTTTACCCTAGACATAGAATTCGAGCCCTAGTGTGCCGTTGTGTTAGTGTTCATCCACTTAGGCCGTAAGGCATTTGCATATGATCCCGAAAAAAGAATCCGGGGACGTTCACCGTCTATTTGGCTGATAGATAGGGGACGTTACACGAGGCAAGGGTTAATTCTAGTGGTACTGGGCACTTTTGGACGACAAAAGCTGTGTTCAGTTTGGCGAGTCAAGGGTTAATTCAAGTAGGCTTTACTGTTTTAAAAAATGGGCTTTACGGTAGATAAAAATGATTCACCAGAGTTAATGTGACTGTGATGAATGAAGCCACTAAAATACGAGGCTGTGTGCTTAAGCCTGAAACAACTTGATTTAGTTAAACAGAAAATTTTTTGAAAGACAGTTTGCTTTAAAACATTCATGAAGTCAAATATCTAGCTACAAAATCAGTGAATCTATCACTCCTCACTGACCAAAGGTCAGTCTTGTCTGAAGTATGTATCTCGTTCTTTTTCCTTGAACTTTGTTAGCAGCAACTAATCAAATCTACTGTGAGAAGCTGCGCAAATTTTCACTTGAGGTGTCTCACTATTTATAAGGTAAAAATTCCTTCAGGCAGTTGGTTTGTCATTGATAGACTGGGCTGGAAGCAGTGTTTCTTCCAGACTTTTTTCTCCGGGGGGGGGGGGGGGGGGCGGGGCACTTACGATTTTCGGGGGCGGGGGGCGGGAACACAGTTAAAAGTATATATTTTCTATATAAATTCCATTTCGTTCGGGGGGGGGGGCGGTAGACTTTCTTCGGGAGGGGGGGGGGGGGGGGGCTGGAAAGATGCACTTACATTTGTCGGAGGTGGTGGCTGTTGGAAGTCACTCACTTTTGTGGGAGGTGGTGTTGTAAGAGGGGTCACTCACCTTTGTGTGAGGTGGTGTTGTAAGAGGGGTCACTCACCTTTGTGGGGGGTGGTGTTGTAAGAGGGGTTACTCACCTTTGTGGGGGGTGGTGTTGTAAGAGGGGTTACTCACCTTTGTGGGGGGTGGTGTTGTAAGAGGGGTTACTCACCTTTGTGTGAGGTGGTGTTGTAAGAGGGGTCACTCACCTTTGTGTGAGGTGGTGTTGTAAGAGGGGTCACTCACCTTTGTGGGGGGTGGTGTTGTAAGAGGGGTTACTCACCTTTGTGGGGGGTGGTGTTGTAAGAGGGGTTACTCACCTTTGTGGGGGGTGGTGTTGTAAGAGGGGTTACTCACCTTTGTGGGGGGTGGTGTTGTAAGAGGGGTTACTCACCTTTGTGGGGGGTGGTGTTGTAAGAGGGGTTACTCACCTTTGTGGGGGGTGGTGTTGTAAGAGGGGTTACTCACCTTTGTGGGGGGTGGTGTTGTAAGAGGGGTTACTCACCTTTAAGGGAGGTGGCGTTGTAAGAGGGGTTACTCACCTTTAAGGGAGGTGGTGTTGTAAGAGGGGTCACTCACCTTTGTGTGAGGTGGTGTTGTAAGAGGGGTCACTCACCTTTGTGTGAGGTGGTGTTGTAAGAGGGGTCACTCACCTTTGTGTGAGGTGGTGTTGTAAGAGGGGTCACTCACCTTTGTGTGAGGTGGTGTTGTAAGAGGGGTTACTCACCTTTGTGTGAGGTGGTGTTGTAAGAGGGGTCACTCACCTTTGTGTGAGGTGGTGTTGTAAGAGGAGTCACTCACCTTTGTGGGGGGTGGTGTTGTAAGAGGGGTTACTCACCTTTGTGGGGGGTGGTGTTGTAAGAGGGGTTACTCACCTTTGTGGGGGGTGGTGTTGTAAGAGGGGTTACTCACCTTTGTGGGGGGTGGTGTTGTAAGAGGGGTCACTCACCTTTGTGTGAGGTGGTGTTGTAAGAGGGGTTACTCACCTTTGTGTGAGGTGGTGTTGTAAGAGGGGTCACTCACCTTTGTGGGGGGTGGTGTTGTAAGAGGGGTCACTCACCTTTGTGTGAGGTGGTGTTGTAAGAGGGGTCACTCACCTTTGTGGGGGGTGGTGTTGTAAGAGGGGTTACTCACCTTTGTGGGGGGTGGTGTTGTAAGAGGGGTTACTCACCTTTGTGGGGGGTGGTGTTGTAAGAGGGGTTACTCACCTTTGTGGGGGGTGGTGTTGTAAGAGGGGTTACTCACCTTTGTGGGGGGTGGTGTTGTAAGAGGGGTTACTCACCTTTAAGGGAGGTGGCGTTGTAAGAGGGGTTACTCACCTTTGTGGGGGGTGGTGTTGTAAGAGGGGTCACTCACCTTTAAGGGAGGTGGTGTTGTAAGAGGGGTTACTCACCTTTAAGGGAGGTGGTGTTGTAAGAGGGGTTACTCACCTTTGTGGGGGGTGGTGTTGTAAGAGGGGTTACTCACCTTTAAGGGAGGTGGCGTTGTAAGAGGGGTTACTCACCTTTGTGGGAGGTGGCGTTGTAAGAGGGGTTACTCACCTTTAAGGGGGGTGGTGTTGTAAGAGGGGTTACTCACCTTTAAGGGAGGTGGTGTTGTAAGAGGGGTTACTCACCTTTAAGGGGGGTGGTGTTGTAAGAGGGGTTACTCACCTTTAAGGGGGGTGGTGTTGTAAGAGGTGTCACTCACCTTTGACCGTATGGGTGGCAGTGGTGACAGGTGTTGTAGGGTGAACTCAGGCCCAGGTTTCCCCGCCTCCCCCACCTTGTACTTTTGACTGTAGGGCAGCTCAGCAAATGTGGGCGGTGGCGTTCGTAATGGGCGTGGTTCTGGGTGGCCGGAGAGGCGTGGCACGGGAGGTTTTCTGGGCGGAGACTGAGGCTCTGGTGGGGGGAGCCAAGGCTTTCTCTTGAATAGTGGTGAGGTGTAGTGTTTGCTGGCACCAGGGGGCGGAGCCTACATTTGATTGACAAATCGGTTGTGGTCAGTTAAATTATTATATACAATAAAACATGAGCTACTTTAATTAGCCAAACCTTTATACTCGTATAACCACAAACCAAGCCTAAATCCTACCCAGACCAATTTCACTAACCCGTCCCTAACCCAAAAACCAACAGAAAAGAAACATCCGTGTAATTGTTGGCGGGGAATTTGAACAAGCGTGAATTACACATTAGTTTAAAATGTCTTAGAGGGAGCCACCGAATGCATCACATCATCGAAGTGTTGAACAAGGGTCTGAACAAAACATAAGGTCTGAACAAAACACGGCCTGAACAAAACACGGCCTGAACAAAATACGGCCTGAGCAAAACATGGGGTTTGAACAAAACATACGGTCTGAACAAAATATACGGGCTGAACATAACATACGGTCTGAACAAAATATACGGGCTGAACATAACATACGGTCTGAACAAAACATAAGGTCTGAACAAAACACGGCCTGAACAAAACACGGCCTGAACAAAATACGGCCTGAGCAAAACATGGGGTTTGAACAAAACATACGGTCTGAACAAAATATACGGTCTGAACAAAACACGGCCTGAACAAATCACGGCCTGAACAAAACATACGTTCTGAACAAAACATACGGTCTGAACAAAACACGGTCTGAACAAAACATACGGTCTGAACAAAACATACGGTCTGAACATAACATACGGTCTGAACAAAACATACGGTCTGAACGGTGCCCTGTCAAAACGGCCCGGGACAAATCGGCCCCGTCAAAACGGCCCCGTTAATACGACCCCGTCAAATCGACTCCCGACAAACCGACCCCGTCAAAATAGCCCCGTCAAAAGGGCCCCGACTTATTGGCTCCCGTCAAATGGGCTCCCGTCATATTGACTTGCGACATATAGGCTCCCGACAAATGGGCTCCCGACATTTAGGCTCCCGACAAATGGACTCCCGACATATTAACCCCTGACAAATAGGCTCAGGACATATTGGCTCCCGACAAAGCGGCTTCCGACATATTGGCTCCCGACATAAGGGCTCAAGACAAATGGGCTCCCGACAAATGGGCTCACGACATTTTGGCTACCGACAAATGGGCTCCCGACATATTGGCTCCCGGCAATTGGGCTCCCGACATATTGGCTTTTGACAAAATGACTCCCGACATATTGGCTCCAGAAAAATGAATGATATGACCACTATTGGCATAAAAGTAACCATTGTGTCCTACCTCCAATACCACCATGACCTCTTTTTAATGCCCGAATGAAATTATTTTTTCATGAACCAACATTAATTCACAAATCGAGCCCTTAACAACTAAATTCCACCAATTCTAAAGTTTTGATAATGTTTAATTTACAACAGAAAAGATCTGTTGCTTAAAAGCGAGCACAGAAGTGTAAATGTATGATATACATGATGTTAACATGATAACAGCATTTTGTTTTGATAACCTACAAGAACAGTGGCGTAGCGAGGTCGGGTGTCACCCGGTGCGGCACTTAATGGTGTCACCCCCCCAGTGGCGTTGCGACCCTTCCCGGGGACAAACTTTCAAGTTTTCGATTTGCACCCCCCCCCCCCCAAACTTTCGATTTGCACCTCCACCCCCTCAACTTTTTCTCTATATATTTTGCTATTTTTGCCTTTGTGTCACCCCCCTAAATGGTGTCACCCGGTGCCGTCCGCACCCCCCCCCCCCCCCGCCCCTCCCCTCGCTACGCCCCTGTACAAGCATATTGCAGTTAGGAAGGTACAGCGTGGACCCTTCTCCCCACACAATGAGTTGGAACAGCCTATAACCGACTCAATTATGGATGTCATAGATAGATGACCCTTAAATTAAAACATACTATATTTTATAATAGATCAACTAATATAAAAATAAGGCCTGCCGAACAAGAGATGCATACGTTGTATTACATAAGAGTGTTGGATAAGCTAACTCTAAAGAATATTGATGAAGGGGTCCCACTGGCAGATGTCATATTCAATGAGACCGCTTTGCCGGGAGACTTAGTCTCTACAGAAACGGTATTGTTAGTGCAGTGGCGTAGCTAGGATTTTTGGGCCCCTATGCAAAAATTATCAGTGGGCCCCTTCGTCAGCCGTTAGGCCAGTGGCGTCGCTAGGTCGGGTCTCACCCGGTGCGGCACTTCGTATTGTCACCCCCTCCCAGGAAACAAAGCATATATATATATATATATATATATATATATATATATATATATATATATATATATATATATGTGTGTGTGTGTGTGTGTGTCGGCCTACATAGGCCTAAAATTTATATATATGCCACATACTGGTACACGTACGTGTTTAAACTTTAATCACTGCTGACTTAATAGTAACGATGTTTATCTACAGTCTGTTTATAATACAGTTGGATGTAGCATTGTTTTCTTTATAGTTTACGTTTACGTCGTGGTGTCACCCCCCCCCCCCCCTCTTGATATAATTTTCGATTTGTACTTAGAAGACTATTTAACTTTAACTAATGGATCTGGAAAATGGCATTTCATTCTATAAATTTTTCAATTTTTTGCCTTTGGTGTCACCCCCCCCCCCTAAATGGTGTCACCCGTTGCGGTCCGCACCCCCCGCCTCGCCTTCGCTACGCCTCTGCGTTAGGCTACAGAGGAGTTAAACGAAGAGATCAACTTCTACTTACGATGGATATTTTTTAATATATAAATATTCTGAAGGCAACATTTTGTATTTTATATGTCCTGATTTTGTATTTATACTATATTATTATGCTTGCCTACTACTGCTAAAAAGTTTATTTATAGGCTGATTCTCTCAATGTCTTGCACGACAAAGTGATATAGCCTGTAGTGTTATTATAACGATTGGGCTCTGTTTGACCCACAAACACTGAATCCCACTGCCGAAACGGTGGGAGGGGGGGGGGGGCTTTTTGGAACTTTTAACCTTTTTCTTTTTTTAAATTATTTATATGTAACAAATATTAAAATTCCATTGTAAAAGTTTTAATTTTTTATGAGGGAAAAGGGCCCCTATGTGCCTTGGGCCCCCATGCCTTGCTTACGCTAGCTTTACGGTAGCTACGCCATTGGGTCAGTGGTCCTTTTGTCTGGAGCCAAATTGACAGGAGCCTTTTTGTCGGGAGCCAAAATGACGCTAGCCTATTTGTCGGGAGTCGTAATGACGGGGGCCGTTTTGTGGAGAAACTAAATGGCGGGAGCCTATTTGTCGGGAGTCGTAATGACGGGGGCCGTTTTGTGGAAAAAACTAAATGACGGGAGACTATATGTCGGGAGCCAAAATGACGGGAGCCTATTTGTCAGGAGCCTTATTGACTGGAGCCCTTTTGTCGGGAGCCTATATAACGGGAGCCTATTTGTCGGTAGCCTAAATGACGGGAGCCTATTTGTCGGGAGCCTATATGACGGGGTCCATATGTCGCTGGCCCTTTTGACGGGGCCGATTTGACGGGGTCGTTTTGACGGGGTCGTTTTGTCGGGGTCGTTTTGACGGGGCCGTTTCGTCATTGGCCGAATTGACGCCGCACGGTCTGAACAAAACACGGTCTGAACAAAACATACGGTCTGAACAAAACATACGGTCTGAACATAACATACGGTCTGAACAAAATATACGGGCTGAACATAACATACGGTCTGAACATAACATACGGTCTGAACAAAATATACGGGCTGAACAAAACATACGGTCTGAACAAAATATACGGGCTGAACATAACATACGGTCTGAACAAAATATACGGGCTGAACATAACATACGGTCTGAACAAAATATACGGGCTGAACATAACATACGGCCTGAACAAAACATACGGCCTGAACAAAACACGGCCTGAACAAAACACGGCCTGACCAAAATATACGGTCTGAAAGCCAAGTATCTCAATATGATGGGAATGTTAAACAAAAAGCTAAAACTAATTAACTGAGGGAATTGTGACTTCCAGTTTTCGGGATTATGACGTCACGTTACATGTACTGTGACGTCACGTTGATAAAGTGTGACCTCACAATCCAAGAATTATCTTGCCTGTACTGTGACGTCAATGTCCTTAAACTGTGACGTCACTCTCCTAAAACTGTGACGTGAGAGTGCGAGGTTCTCACCCCTGTGTATTTGACTGGATGCCTGGGTTTCTCGTACGAGCTGAGCGGTGCGAGGAGTTTTGTGTTGACGAATGGCGGGACGTACTTGACAGGTGGAGGCGGAGGTGCGGGTTCTAGTCCATGGTGGGCCAGGAGAAAAAAAAGTTTGTTCATCAAATGTTTTTCTTTTGTAAAAAAATTTCATATATATATATATATATATATATATATATATATATATATATATATATATATATATATATATATATATATATATATATATATATATATATATATATATATATATATATATATATATATATATATATATATATATATATATGTATACTTAAAGAAGTCTGTTCTTGAATTACTAACATACTACCACCACCTTATATTACTACTGAAATAATGTTTCTACCTGCTGGTGCTTCCTCAACTGGTGCTGGTTTTTTCTTCTTCTTTCTTTTCTTTTTCTTTCTTTTCTTCTTTTTCGCGGTCTGTTGAAAGACATCAGAGAACAACAGTTGGAACAAACATACATGTGTCTACTTGAACTGTTGATCTAGCTATGATCTAAAGACGTGAGAAGAATCTTCGTTGAATAGGACTAAGATATCAAAGTGTTCCCCAATCATGTGGACATTAGCACAGAGCAGCTGGATTATAGCTAAAGGATTCTCCTGGTATAACATAACTACGCAGCAATCACAAGTACCTATTAACATATAAATATAAAGTAAACACCATTGCATGCTAATGACAAGTGCACCAACAACTTCACATTACCCAGATAATGACATGAACCAACTTTAAAGGAAGAAAGTAATCGATAAATGGCCTGTCAAGGTTAATGACCTGGTATGTTTACTACTGGGGTTTAATTGTTTAATTAGTGCTGCAAGTCAACAGTCTAGTGATTGCTCATTGGAAAAATAACAAATGCACAAAAAAACACTAAAAAAAAACCACAGTTATTTAGATTTCTTCACACAAAAAAACCAGTTCTTCATTTACAACAGACACAGAAAATACAAGTATGTATGATCAGTTTGAGTCAATTGTGTAGATTAAAAAAAAAGATTAACGTCACCAGGGTAATATGGTATAACTTAGCTGTCTTGTGTTCTATACGTAGACCAATTCGACCGAAAAATCTGGAAAGACATTGACACAGACAAAACAAAATACGAAGTAAAATATACGACAACATTGAGCGCAGATAATACTGACAATTGCCTAGGTAGATAGATATGAATATGAGGGCGGGGGGGGGGGGGATGTCGGTCCGGCATGCTGACAACAGGTTGGTGATTGCATCATTAATTACGTATTTTCCAATTAAGCAAATCTGAGGTAGTTAAGTAGAGTATTATTTCAAGAGAACAAAGCAGCAAGAAAAAAAGTATTTGTGTGTGTGTGTACGTCCTTACAAGATAACGATCGCGGCATATAATATTCGGAGTGTTGATGTTACCTGAGTCTAACAATATTCTCCTCTGAATATAGGTGTGTTAGGTTGCTTGTAATATTGTGATATAATAGGATATGTTTACTGTTAGGGTCAGAAATTAGGGTGAGGGCGATGGTAGGAATCGGGTTAGGGTTAGATACTTATATTAGAATGGTATACTATCAATAACCTACCCCCTCCCCTTTTTAAAAAAAAATATTGTGGCATTATCGGATACAGATGTAACACATAACCCTAATGTTCTAAACCCGAATATGTTTTATGGCGATGTTTTCTGTTAACGCTTTAACGGTCACCCAACATTGACGTCTGCTCAACCGCAAGCTGACGCCACACCGTTGTGACGTAGCAGTGGAAGTTCTGATTGGCTGCGACAAATCTATTCGCATTTTAACCCTCCGCTCGCCTGGTACGTTCAGGCCGAAAATAAAATTCATGGACCCGCGGTAATGTTTGCTTGTCTGATGTTGTGTTGTTGATAAGCATCCAGTTTCTGATCATCTTCTGTTGATATTCATCGTGTTTTTTATGTCTTACTGTTGATATTTATCGAGGTACTTAATTAACCTCAGTATACATATATACTGCAAGGGATTTTGTTTTTCATCTTGACCACCCCTTCAAGTACTAGAGAGTAAATTATTTTATTCTTGTAATGATACACGTGAGTTACCCACCCCAATAGATTATCGCTGACAGTTGTTGTGCTTACGTTGCTGGATTATTTGGGTTCTCTGTTCTTTTTTTACTACCTTTCACCTAATTATATCTTAGGTAAGTATTTTTAATTTGCATTTTTTAATTAGTATTTTTTACTATGATCTTTTAAAAATTGTAAAACTTCAGCATGGGCTGTTTTATATATACTTCGTCATAAGAAATAAATGGCGTAACTTTCTAAAAGACGTTCGACGTGTTAACGGATGTACGAACTAATGGTGAGATGTTTTCCTTGTTGGAGATTGGTTCAGTCCTAACGTGCGGAATCTATTTCCGGTACGCATTCGTAGCCTGAAGCATTCGTATCACGAAACACGTTGGTCGTTATAGATGACGCAATCTTCGGGTAATTATTCCATCTTTTACAAGTAACTATTTACGATGCTAAAAATTTTAATCCTTCATGGACAAAATTCACGGTCCGATTATGGTGGATGGGCGGCTTAAATTATTCTGAAAGAAATATTTTTAATGAAGTGCTGAGGGTAGCACTACCGAACAATGGTGCCATCACAAGCACCTGACTGGAAGCTACAGGTAACCAAGGCTGCTGCAGTGGCACGAACGGATGAAGGGACAAGGGTACCGCTGTACCACTGGGATCGTTGACTAACCCACTGAGTTGATGAAGGGACAAGGGTACCACTGAATCGTTGTCTTACCACTGGATTGATGAAGGGACAAAGGTACCACTGTACCACTGGGATCGTTGACTCACCCACTGAGTTGATGAAGGGACGTTTTTCATATTGAAGGTTTCTTTGAGACACATTCAAGTACCACATAGAGTCCAAGATACAGGCACACACACAAACACACACATACACAAACACCAACGTCATAGCACATAAACACACGAGCTAACCAACACATATAACCATGTAGTAGCCGGCACAGACAGAAACGCACACAGTTAACACACATACACACAAACACACACGAACACGCACATAGACAAGCAGACATACATCTAACGTAACGAAACACATACAAACACTCACAGGTTAACACACACGCACACACACACACACGCTCCAACAGACCATCTCGTGACACACCAACAACAGCTACACCATGTGAGAACAGCAGCCTCAGATAGAAGACTCGCCAAGGCTCGCCAAGACTCGCCAATATGATGTTATCAAATCTATATAGGAGGAGCAGCTATTGATTGGGTCATGTGACAAATTCAACGGTTTAATTGCTCAAGTCACGCTCTGGAGATGTAGGGGTTATTGAACTTAAACACGCAGGTGTTTCACTGTCGACAGGGGTTATTAAACTTAAACACGCAGGTGTTTCTCTGTTGATAGAACCCTGCCAAAGTTGTCTTTAAATGTTCATTCAATAATTCCATACAAACATATTTTTTGTTCGTGAGAGTAGAGACATGATTGTAGAGACGGTAGATGAGCTAGTCGTAGTGTGATCGAACATTGAACATGATTGAGCTAGTCGTAGTGTGATCGAACATTGAACATTATTGTAGAGACGGTGGATGAGCTAGTCATAGTGTGATCGAACATTGAACATTACTGTAGAGACGGTGGATGACCTAGTCGTAGTGTGATCGAACATTGAACATTATTGTAGAGACGGTGGATGAGCTAGTCGTAGTGTGATCGAACATTGAACATGATTTTAGAGACGGTGGATGAGCTAGTCGTAGTGTGATCGAACATTGAACATTATTGTAGAGACGGTGGATGAGCTAGTCGTAGTGTGATCGAACATTGAACATGATTTTAGAGACGGTGGATGAGCTAGTCGTAGTGTGATCGAACATTGAACATGATTTTAGAGACGGTGGATGAGCTAGTCGTAGTGTGATCGAACATTGAACATGATTTTAGAGACGGTGGATGAGCTAGTCGTAGTGTGATCGAACATTGAACATGATTTTAGAGACGGTGGATGAGCTAGTCGTAGTGTGATCGAACATTGAACATGATTTTAGAGACGGTGGATGAGCTAGTCGTAGTGTGATCGAACATTGAACATGATTTTAGAGACGGTGGATGAGCTAGTCGTAGTGTGATCGAACATTGAACATTATTGTAGAGACGGTGGATGAGCTAGTCGTAGTGTGATCGAACATTGAACATTATTGTAGAGACGGTGGATGAGCTAGTCGTAGTGTGATCGAACATTGAACATGATTTTAGAGACGGTGGATGAGCTAGTCGTAGTGTGATCGAACATTGAACATGATTTTAGAGACGGTGGATGAGCTAGTCGTAGTGTGATCGAACATTGAACATGATTTTAGAGACGGTGGATGAGCTAGTCGTAGTGTGATCGAACATTGAACATGATTTTAGAGACGGTGGATGAGCTAGTCGTAGTGTGATCGAACATTGAACATTATTGTAGAGACGGTGGATGAGCTAGTCGTAGTGTGATCGAACATTGAACATTATTGTAGAGACGGTGGATGAGCTAGTCGTAGTGTGATCGAACATTGAACATGATTTTAGAGACGGTGGATGAGCTAGTCGTAGTGTGATCGAACATTGAACATGATTTTAGAGACGGTGGATGAGCTAGTCGTAGTGTGATCGAACATTGAACATGATTTTAGAGACGGTGGATGAGCTAGTCGTAGTGTGATCGAACATTGAACATGATTTTAGAGACGGTGGATGAGCTAGTCGTAGTGTGATCGAACATTGATAGTTAATCACGTCAGTAGAGAGATTTTAGATGTGGATGATGCTGTGGCGTGTGGAGAGGATGCGGAAGGAGTGAGGTGTCGTTGTGGAGGGAGTGGGGAGAGAAAGTGGGTATCGTGAGTGTGGTGAGAGTAGAGTGTGTGGATGAGTGTGGGGAGTGTGTGAGAGTAGAGAGTGTGCGGAAGGAGTGTGGTGTGGTTGTGGAGGGAGTGGGTGGTGAGAGTAGAGAGTGTGAAAGTGTGTGTGGCTGGAGTGTGTGTGGCTGGAGTGTGTGGGGATGGAGTGTGTGGGGATGGAGTGTGTGGGGATGGAGTGTGTGGGGATGGAGTGTGTGGGGATGGAGTGTGTGTGGCTGGAGTGTGTATGGATGGAGTGTGTGTGGCTGGAGTGTGTATGGATGGAGTGTGTGTGGATGGAGTGTGTGTGGATGGAGTGTGTGTGGATGGAGTGTGTGTGGCTGGAGTGTGTGTGGATGGAGTGTGTGTGGATGGAGTGTGTATGGATGGAGTGTGTGTGGATGGAGTGTGTGTGGATGGAGTGTGTGTGGCTGGAGTGTGTGTGGATGGAGTGTGTGTGGATGGAGTGTGTGGCTGGAGTGTGTATGGATGGAGTGTGTGGGGATGGAGTGTGTGGG